AACAAGCTGTATCGCTTCCACATCTAGTATTGAACCGAGTATTTTGGATGCAGGTAGAGCCTTCATTAAATAAAAAGTATTAATAATTATAATTTTTAATAACAATTAAGTTTACTAAATTCTACTTTTGTAATAACGATGTATAACAATAACACATAAAAGCTTTGACACATTTTAAGCTATTAAATTATAAAACAAGATCTTAAAATTTACCTTTGCAGAAACAATGCATAGAGCACTTGGTACATTTATTACAACTTGAACTTGATCCACACCTAGTATTGAAGCGAGTACGCTGATTACAGGTAAAACCTTAATTAATATATAAGAAATTTAGTAGAAATATATAATTCTAACTATTTAAGTTTTATTAACCAAATCATCTAATAACTTACTCATCTTTTAAAAGTAATTTCAGAGTGTCAAAACTTTTTACATATTCAAGAAAAAAGCTACGCTGATATTGATTGAAAATTTATCGCCCAATTTATTTGGTACAGTAACACCCCAAAATTTGGGTTTAAATTTAAAAGGATTTTATGTATGACAAACCTTGTTATTCAAAAATGCATAATATAGTATTGAATACGGAGCAATTAGTTGATTTTGCGATTGTTAGGCGAAGCTAATTACCTTATCCAAACAGAGACATTGTTTGCGAAGTTCAATCAAAGATGGTGAGAAACTTAGAACTCCCCGGTATAGAATTCGATCGTGAGATAGTTGTGTCTCCTTGGAGCTTAAGACTCTAGTGCAACAACTTAAAAAATTTCGGTAAAAAATTTCGCAGTTAAATTGAGTTTATGGTTGTTAGCAAGAGCTTAATTAATATCAAAATCTCGTAAGGAAAATTTGTTAGTGCGCAGAAGGCAATATATTATTAAGCTATTACCGATTTTTGTTTTTCTTGCGTTGTTTTCTTCGTTGCATAAAACCAATTTCGAGTAAGCTGTCCCAAAATTGAGGCTGGAGTTAAAGTCGCATATTATGCTCTATCCAGTTGTGACACTAAGCTCGATGTGAGGATTCTAACTAGTCTAAAATAGTTGAAATCCAATCACGAGGTCTCGAGATCGTTATATATTAATTTTATTCGATAAAATTAAATCTGTAAAATTTTATTAGCAAAACTGATCTCGAGACCTCGTGATTGGATTTCAACTATTTTAGACTAGTTAGAATCTTCTAATTGAGCTGGTCTTTTTGGTGGTAAAATTATCCAAAACGGACCACTAGATCAAAAGTAATTACCTGTCAAAGATTATATGTATTTTCATTAATAAGTTTAAATATATATATACTGCTAAACCTCCCAAACCGACATGCATGGTGGGCAGATTTTGTATCAGTATTGAAAGGCTATTAAGAGGTTGCCAGATTTGAAACATCATAAACTATTGGATTTATATAACAGAAACGGACTTGGTGGACTAATTTTTTATCAGATTTGACAGGTTATTGATGAGAGGATCGATTTTGGGAGGTTCACATAGGTCGAAATAAAGCAAATCGGGTTCAAATCGGCATCACAAGATCATGATTTGAACCCGATTTGAAACAGATATTTGGCGCAAATAAGATACCTATAGGATACAATTCGGATTGATATCAGCATACAAGACATATCGACAAACCGATAGCCCAATAGGTAAATCGATAGAGCTTATCTTATAGCGCTATCGATTTACTTATTGAGCTATCGGGTTGTCGATATGTCTTGTATGCTGATATTAATCCGAATTGTATCCTATAGGTATCTTATTTGCGCAAAATATCTGTTTCAAATCGGGTTCATATCATGATCTTGTGATGCCGATTTGAACCCGATTTGCTTATTTCGACCTGTGTCAATAGCACGTATATATTTTTAAATGATGATATCTCGTGATCTAATGATCGGAATTATATGGATTTAATATCTTTGATTCGTCTAGATGAGAGGAATCGAATGGTATAAAATTCATCTTATTCTAATTGTTGCATCATGAGATATGCTGGTTGATCACAATACCCCACCTCCCTTATATATTTTTTAATCCAGTCAATTCTTGTTCGTATTGAACTTTTTTTTTATTAATGTCTTCTCATGTAATGTATTTATTATGAATGCTTATCATATTTTATGTTTAGATCTGTTGGTTGACAAGAACGATCTTCACCATAAATTTCAGACCAAACACACCAACATACATACTGGACATGCATTCAAGAGAAGACTTAAGTCTAAATGTGTTGTCATTATACTATTGCTGTATTACTGATATTATCATAATTCGTGAAACACCTGATAAAAATTAGCCGAATGATTGTTCAGCCGATTCGGCTAAGTTAGTGATTTCGGCATGATCTACTATATAATAAAAATAATAATTTTCGATCCAACGTTTGTCCAACATGCTTGTGTTTAGTTTGCACAAAAATTTATAGAAAAGACTGCTTGTGTCAACCAATAAACCTTAACAAGAAATCTAAAAAGGGACCGGATATAAATTAGACTTTTATAACAAATATTACACGAACAGGTGCTGCTATTAAAGTTAAATATGATCATGAATTTGTCGATTGGTTTAAAAATGAATCTCAGGTTAGGATTCCAAGCGATCAAGATATTATTAATATTTGTCGAGAATGTGTGAAGGATTATCAAAGTAAAAAATTTTATATGTTAATATTTATTTATAAATTGAATACTAATGGTTAAAATTAGTTCAAAAATGGGATCCAAAATTAAATGAAAGTATCGAAGTGGATTTAAGAATTAAAGATTGCCTATCTGAAACAGAGAGTTTAGAAGACTTGCCTAAGTGTTTGGCAATTTGTCGAACTAATAAGCCTTCTAAATTTTTTTCAACGATTTGCCAGCGAAGGTGCTTTGTAAATATCATTTCTAGAGATATCCCAAATTTTTTAAAAATAAACTTTTTGTCTTCGACAAGAAACAAAAAATAATTAGAAATAAATAAATGCCCTCGTTTGAACGAAAATGGATCTTGCCAAAGAATAGGAATCGAAATTTAATTCAACTTTTTAAAAACGAATTTTCGTTGAAAATAATTAAAAATGAATAAAGACTTCGTTTATCTTACAGTAAACGAAAATGGATCCTGCTAAAGAATGGGAGTTGAAATTTTACACAATTTTTTAAAAACAATTTTTCGTCTTCGACAAGAAATAAATAAAGGCTTCATTTGAACAAAAATGGATCTTGCTAAAGAATAGGAATTGAAATTTTTTACAACCGAATTTTCGTCGAAATATTATAAATGAATAAAGGCTTCGTTTGAGCGAAAATGAATCGTGCCAAAGAATAGGAATTGAAATTTACGACTTACAAGTGCATGTTGATATTTAGTCTTATTGTTGGTCATCTGATCTTATTAAATTACGTATCTAATATATCCGTTACTGAATCTTATTATTCCCGAAATCTATAACTTAACCGAATCGGCTGAACAATCATTCGGCTAATTTTATCAGGTGTTTCAGGAATTATGATAATAGCAGTAATTCTGGGTCGCTTGATAAACCAAAATGGTTCTACCACAAAATCTGAAAGCCACTTTTCCGAAAAAACATAATACCTACTGACTAAATTGGCCAGCATTATAACTAATGCTGGCTAACTTTGTATACTTTCGGGAATCTGTTTTTCGGGATCTTGTAGGTTTTATCACAAAAATCCCGAAAACTATTTTCTCAAAAGAACATAATACCGACTAAATTGGCCAATATTATAACCAATGATGGTTAACTTTGTCGGTATTAGGTCCTTTCGGGAATATGTCTTTCTGGATTTTGTGGTAAAACCATCTTAAGTTAACCGGAAAAGTTAATGTCAAATAGCATTAAGGGAAAATTGCATAAAGAATTATGCAAATTTGTTCAATCGAGAGATACCTTGTTGAGAATTTTCTTTTTAGGGAAACAGCTTTTGGGAAATAATCTTTTTGGAAAATTGTTTTTTCAGAGAAACATCCTTTCAGGGAAATATATCATATAATATTTGTCGGTGAAAAGGTTTCAAAAAAGTTCTTGTCAGAGAAACAGGAGTTCAAAGAAAAGGTTTTGTCAGTGAAAAAGTTCTGTTGAATAAATTTTTTTTGGAAGTGCAGTTTGTTGGGAATTAGCTGTGTCGGGAAAAAAAATTCGATAAAAATTTTTATTAATGAAATGTACTGTTAAAAATATGTCTTGTCAGAAAAAAGAGATTTCAGTATTATGGGATCGGGAAACTAGTATTTAAGGAAGGCATGTTTCAGAAAAGTAAGAATTAACACTCCAGAGTGATATAGAAAGCACATCAAAAAGTTCTTAATAATTTGTGTTTTTTGACACTGCTTACATAACTCAAATCAGTAATGTAAGAGATAGCATATCTTGATAAACTACAATTTTGAAATAAAAGTCTTTATGCATTAATTTGGCTCATATTCAAAAAAAATAATATCTGATTTTTAAACATATCTCTGAAGTGATATAGGAAGTATACTAAAAAGTTTCTTAGAACCTGAGCCTTGTGACACTGGCTTATTTAAACAAAAATCAGTATTACATATAAGAACTAAACATAATACCTTGATTAACTATATTTTCAGAATAAAGTCTTTATACATTAAGATGGCTTCTATTCCAAAAAAAACTTATTTAATTTTTGAGTGCATTCTGTTGTAAATAAAAACAGAATTTAAGTGAATTCAGAATTTATTAAAAATACTTATTTCGGAATTGATTTTATCATATATACACCCTATCCTAACTCTAATTTAACTAGAAAATTCCAAATTCAATTAATCTCATTTCCATTAACTATGTCTTATAATTTTAAGCAAAGATCCCACTGATCTTATTTTATCAGAATACCTGTTGAACTTTGTATGATATGCAGTATAGTGAATCAACAAATGAAGAATTGGTTTACAGGTTGATAAGTTGAGGTGAAAAATTATATTATAGATATACATCAAAATATTTTTAATCCTTTAAGAATGATAAAACTACCAAATGAATATTATTTTTCAAATATTCAAGAACTTTAAAAATGGTTATAAAGCTTATTTTCATGCCTACTTGTAAACAATCATTGGTGCAAGATTATTGTACCAATATTGTAGAGTAAAATATCAAGATAATTAAATAATAGAAAGCCATATATATGTATATACCTCATAGCTTTAAATTTGCAAGAGCAAACTTTATTAATTCCTTTTAAATCCTTTCTTCCAAAGTACCCAAAACCTTTATTTGAACACAAGTTATACTGTATATATTAGTTGTAATTTAGATAAAGCTTAATTGCGACTTAATGTTTTTAATTTCAATATTTTTACGAACAAATTAATAGGCTAGAATACTTGGAAGTTTCTAAATTTATTGATAATAATAAATTAATTAAAATTTGT